CCCTTCATTTCCCAGTTTTGATCTCCCTTATAAGCGCATTACCATCCAATATTGAGCTACTGTCAGAGTATCCCAACTTGACTGAACTCTTTGGCGGAAAAAAGACCAACTCAATATCCATGAGCAAGCATTCACCTTAACTCCAATGGCACAGAGACGTTACTGTCTCAGACGTGCCTATCATATGATGCGATTCAGCCTCACATAATAGCCACCGCATTCGTTTCGTCCGGAAGATTCGCATCCTTCCAGACGCCCTCGTGAACTGACTGAAGAGGTGCAAAGTCACGGAACAACAGCCATTGGGACACGCCGTGTGCCAGTTGAGGCACGGTCGCCCGTGAGACACCCCCATTCCGCAGACGCTGCGTGCGCCCCGCGTGGGACCGGCCCACTCCGGCGCCGTCGCCAGAAGCAGGCTAAGCCGGCGTGGCGGCGCCACGGCAGCGCCGCCAGCCGCCATCCGTCACCGGAGGCGGGTGACGTCATCACGGCACCGTCATCGGCGGGCGTCGTGCGCCGGGCGGATGCGGCACGCACTCACCTGGCGCAGTGACTCGCCCAAAGGCAAGCCGCAAAGCAAGGCAAGGCGGCTCGCCCAAAGGCGAGCCGCAAATAGGCGCGGCGCTCCGTTTCAAGTCTCCACAACAAGTGCTTTTCTCGGATAACGCGTCGCATGGTGCGTACCTCGTGGTTGCAGGTCCGCATTCTCAGTGAAGCGTTTGCGATTTGTCACTGCGTGACTTGCCAGATAGACCACGAAGACAGATTTCACGCGGCCGCAAACAACGCGCAAAAAGCTGTCCTGCATCACGCCGGGGGGGGGGGGGGGCAGCCGGACGACGCGGCCGGCTGTCGTCACCGCCACGTCACCCGACACGCGCTGACCTCAGTACCGTGACGGCGTGTGACGGTGTAACGGCGCAGCGGCGACGGCTGGTCTCTGGCGGCGACAGAGGTAGGTCAGCCGGCATCACCTCACCACCGGCCTTCTGTCTCTGGCGGCGGCAGCGGGAGGTCAGCCGGTGTCACCTCACCACCGGCCTACTGCCTCTGGCGGCGGCAGGGGGAGGTCAGCCGGCATCACCTCACCACCGGCCTACTGTCTCTGGCGGCGGCAAGGGGAGGTCAGCTGGCATCACCTCACCACCGGCCTACTGCCTCTGGCGGCGGCAGGGGGAGGTCAGCCGGCATCACCTCACCACCGGCCTTCTGTCTCTGGCGGCGGCAGGGGGAGGTCAGCCGGCATCACCTCACCACCGGCCTACCGCCTCTGGCGGCGGCAGCGGGAGGCCAGCCGGCGTCACCTCACCACTGGCCTGCTGACGGCTTCGACCTGCTCTGTTTACCCGCTCGTGTGTGAAGTGTTCAGCATCTTTTTGTCTCTTGCTGAATGCGGTGTTTTCGGACGCCTCGCGGCTCCGACTCGGCGGCTGTTCCGTGAACAAGTGAGAGTTTACGGGACCGTTGAGGACGGTTCAGTCGCGCGGGGATGGCCTCAAACTGGGCGACGACGGATGGTGAGACACTTTCTCCTGCTGTGTAGGGGATCCCTATAAATCTGCGATGGCCGTTTAATTTCCTTTGTGGCGATAGTGTATAAGCAGTCGAGAACTGGTTCCCAGAAAGGGGGAGCTGGCCAGACGTCGGTTCCGTTGCCTGTTCCATTAATATAGCACACGCAACCAACCGGAGCACTTGTTCTGTAGCGATCGCGACCAGCACCGTTTGGCCCAGTATTTCTCGCCGATTGGGTCTTTGCAGCCGCCGTTGGTTGGTTCACGTGAGTGCCAGCAAAGAGAAACTTGTGCGGTTGCCGCAGCTGGCCGTGGCTCGGCGTATTCTCACACTAAGGTAAGCTGCAAGCGACTACACTCGGACGTTTCTCTGCGGCGACCATCCCTAGACTGCATCAAACCGTTCTGGTTTATTTGCGAGTGAGACGAGCGCGATGGCTAACAATGTTGATTTGCTACACCACCCAGGAAGTGCGCGCTCGTCCCACTCAGCAGCGAAAGCCCAGTCCAAAACAACACATCTTACTGAAAACAGCTGCAACGCTACACAGTCCACACCCCGCGGCCAGACAGCACGCGTTCTCGCATTGACGCCGCACGGGTGGCCGGGCCGAGACAGCAGCCGCCACCCTGGGCGGCCGGCCGGGGCAGCGGGTCACCGTGGGCGGCCAGTCAGGCTGGCCAGCGCGCCGGTCAGCCTGACCAGTGAGCCGATCAGGCTGGCCAGCGCGCCGGTCAGGCTGGCCAGGGCGCCGGTCAACCTAGCCAGCGCGCCGGTCAGCCTGGCCGAGTGTGCGTCATGGCCAAGCAAGTCACGCGCCACACCCGCGCGTCCGCTGAAAATGGTAAATCGCTCTGCTCGAAATGGGACTCCGTCTGAGACTCAGATGAGCATGCGTCATGCTTAGGGCGGAGTCCCGTAACATTTCGCCGATTTAGGACGAGCTTATTGCCAAGTCATGCAGCTGACCGTGGCTTGGCGTGATCTCCCACGATGGTAAGGTGCATGTGATTGCACTTGCAATTACAGCGCACTGATCAGCACAGACCTGATTTGACCAGCTTAACCACCGACAGCGCGCTCCGCAGGTAGAACGGGCATAGCTCGCCAACGCTGCGGCGCGCTGACTACATCGACCGATGCAAATCACGGAGCTGCGTCACAACTGCAGCTCTGCCAGATGAACGCCTCAATAACGGCTGCAATCGTGCATGACAATGGCGCCGTTGCGCGTGTGGCGTGGGGCGGACCTCCGGTCGGGGTCAAGCCGCTCGTGAGAAGCGACGTGACGCAGTCACGTGACACGCGACACGCGGCTCGTGGCCGCTCGGCGCGTGGGCCGCATGCTGCGGGGCGGGCCGTGCCGTAAACTATCCCGGATCTGCCGCTCTGACCCGCCGCCTCTGCCAAACACGGACGACGCCTGCTGCACATGCTGTCAGGCGGGGCGCGTGCTGTCGGGCGGGGCGTGTTAGCGCGCAGGTACTGCCGGGAACTGACAGTAATGGTGGGAGCTCATGCCACTGAGGACAGATGACATGCACGCTACGGGTCGCAAACGTCCTGCCCGTGGTATGGCGGCTTTGATCAGCGGAAGCTTGCTGGCCTCACGGACGAGGGTCTGTAGCTTCGAGACTAGCTACCGGCTGTGCTTTGGCTTCATAACTAAAGACGGCGCGGAATATGGAGCGAAATAGCCGTAGCGCTTACGTGCGCCACACACAAACTAAACAAGCCTTGGGGCTCTTCGAATGAGAAAAAAGCCGGAGTTGTCAGGGCAGAACTATTCTGCCGGACTGCCAGATGACCGTCGTTTGGAGCTCCATGCGCAGAGGTTGCCTGTTGCTGCTATTGGGGCTTTACGACTCACTCAACTGCTAAAACTGTATGGCGTCGTCTGCCTCTCACGCTGGCAGGAAGAGCGGGCACGGGAAGGGGATGGGGGGGGGGGGGGGAGGGGAATGGCTCCCAGTGCCTCTGTTGTCGCAGGCAGGCAGCTTAACCACTGCCCTGCCGGAACACCATGCGTAGGGGTTTGTCGTTAGCGGCAATGTGTTAGACGATGCACAGGATTCAACGCGTCCTTCCGGGAAAAAAACGCCGTCCGAGCATCCCAATCTCCTGGCAAATGACGTCATAAGCCATTACAGGGGATCAAAGGACGAAGTAATCGTCAGCAACGTCATTCTGAATCACAATGACGGCCTCAGAGCCCTCTTTGCAGCCTGGCATTACCTGAAGCTGTTTTGGCTTGCATAAACACACTTTCAAGGGGTGCACAACGAAAGACGAGCCGCAACTAAGATGAACAGCCGTCCATTTGGTCCCTGCACATCTCGTATAAAATCAACCTCCATCGCCCAGATGGTCATGCACTGGCAGCCCCGTCATGCACACAGCTACCAGCTGCATGCATTGCTCGATGAACTTATGTCTGTCAACCAGCACCGTGAAAACGGGATATTTCGTGCGTAGATTTGTGAAAGGATATAAAAGGTCAGACGCCAAATGGCGCCCGTGAACTCTCATAACCCGCGGAGTAATGTCTTATGTATAGGACATTTTGCTATCTGCGAAATATATGTGTAGGACAATCTGCAGACGCGTATGCGTGCTTGCAGATCGGGGCTGTTGTACAGTGTGCTGCAGGCTACGAGACCGGTCTGTGGGACAAACCAGTCACGAGCTTCGTAGAGTAACCCCGATGGTGACGCGTCATTTCCACCTCTTGGGATTTTTCCCTCCAATCTTAGATATTCGGGGGGATGCGCTCTCTCATAACTCCGGTGTATTCCAGGGTATTACAACCAGTATACCCGATCAGATTGATATGATAATACACAAACAACGGAGGAGCCTGTATGGACTCAAATTACAGACACATGGTACATTGGCTTTATTGTGACGTCCATGTGCGAAGCGAAATAACAGACTGAAGTAGAACATGGGCAGCTGACTAGACATCTACGGTGGCCATTGCATTCCATAGCGATTGCTATGAGCTGATGACGTCAGATTACTATAGAACGTGCGTCAGTAGAAGGCTCATTAAGTCGAACACCGACGCGGTGCGGACATGCCTCCCTGCATCCCAGAGACGGACACTGTTAACATTTACAAACATCAAGCCTCTGGAATCTGATGCAACTAGACTTCTGATGCAAGTCCTGCTACGGTCACAACACAGGTACTCTTTTCAGCCTACAGCAGCAGCGTCCTCTCGCAAGTCCCTCCGACCTCGGAGAACAAAGGCAAATGGCACATAACAACATGGCAACAATGATCAACAGCGCACATCTAAACACGTATCAGAGACCAGCTGAAGACAATGTAACAAAGCTCTCGCGTCCCTCATTGGGAGCAATTATGGCAGTCTAGAAGCTTGTGGGATTGTTTACCTGTGTCAACCCAGCTGTCTTTAATCAGGCACACGCAGGTCCTGCCTGAATCTACGGTCAAAAGAAAACATCTAGCTTCCCGAGTACACTCACAATCACGTACCGAACCAAATGCTCATTCTCAGACCGAATTCGACCTAGCCACTCATAATCCGTTGACCCGGCAGGCTCCAGGCCAAGTCCGTCTCAAATGCTCAGCGACGGACGTTTCTTCCTGTACTTCCCGTTCTTGCCAAAGATGTTTCCGAGGACCTTGGAGACGCTGTTGACGCCTGCCTTGCGACGGATGGGCAGCATCTTGAGTAGTTGCAGGCTCCTGGCCTCCTTCAGCAGGGTATGGAAGCCGAGGGAGACGCCGGTCACGCTCTCGGCTGCCGACACCTCGTAGAAGGGACAGCCGTATGCGAGCGACAGCTCGTGCCCGTCCTCTGTGTCCACTTGTCTGAAACGACAGACACGCATCAGCAGGGGCGCGGGCGTGCTGACCGTTCGTAGTTTGCCCGCATGGCGCGCATAGGCAAGTGTCGTGTTCGGCGGCACGCTGTGAGTCCGCTAGTAGTGTCGTATTACTCTAAACATTCCTGAACGTTCTGGAGTGAGCAGTTTCGACAGATGCCGAAATGTTACTCATCCTGGCATTGTCCGCTTGGAAACATGTTAAGCATGATATCGACTGGCAGAGACAACACCTAGTAAGTACATATATTTAGCGACAGTTGCCAGCGATGCCTTATCGCCAATCAGGTGTGATCAATAACATCAGCACGGAACTGCAAAGAAGCGGGGAACGTGGGTTGAGGTGGGTGGGTGGGGGGAAGCCACTCTCTAACTTCATTAAAGTTTGGCAATGGACGCACGTCAGGTCTGGAGACAAACTCAGCGCTAGCTTTTTGAAATTGTGTTGCGTTGTAGGAAAAACAAAGCAGGTGTAACATCCGTTTTAGTTCCTGCCGTATTCCGTGAGTTCCCGCACCCCAGGATCGGTGCATCGAACTTCTCGCGTTGGGTATTCATCACCCGGAGGGATGAATTACTTCTCTAGTTCTCGTTTGCAGTCACGAAGTGTTCTATGCAAATGGAGCCTTGAAAGTGATGAACAGCCGCACCCCGAGGAAAACCGAGCACGGAATATCGCATACCAAGTGCGAGTAGGGGCGCGAGAGGTGCTTGCTCCCGTAAACGATGGCCTGAAAAGACCGCGTTTTTCCTGGGCTATCTCAGCATCAAAGTGGGTTGTCTAACATCTAGCAGCGTCGGTGCCATTAGGGGATTCGATTCAAAGAGCCTGGGCCAATTAAACATGACATCCGCGGGCTTAAGGTCGTGCCGTATACGGAGGCGTCTCGGCTGCCACTCAGCGCGCCGCCCTGCGGTATAATCGGGATAATTTACCGCCGGCCTGCCGCTGAGAGTAAACAGCTCGGAGCAGCGGAGGGACCGTTACCAAATCACGCCACCGAGAGCCTGTCGCCGCTCGGTGTCCGCCGACTGCGGAACCGGCCCTCTTGTTCCGCGCCGTGGAGGGTGACAGGGGCGCCACCTGACGCGCTTCTCCGCGGCCGTTTTACGGCCGAGCACCGCAACAACTCCCGCCGAAAATAATTGGCTTGTTTCATCTGTGTCGCTGTCGCCGAGATAAACGACGCTGCGGCGGCCAATTAGCCGGCCTCTGCGCTGGGTTTAATTAGAGGCACATCACGCCGCGCTTTGAGCGCCGGCGCCAGCGCCGCCTCACGTCCGCACCCGGCGTCGCTCTGAGGCGCCCACCGGAGGCGACGGGTTCTGTGCGCCGAGCCGCGACGGCCGACCGGACGCCGCCGCCGTCGCGCTGTCCAACGGCTGTGGGGGCGGCGCACGGTCGGTGCGCACGTGACGCGCCACGGGCTCCGTCCGGACGTGACGGAACGAAGGAATGTGCCGGAGAAATGCCAGGGAGGGTTGACGTGGTGAGCGTTCTGCGGGTCCGAGCAGTGGGGTACGATTGGATGATGCGCTAAACGTAGTGGAAACTTGCCCAGTTGGCCGTCCAAGTTACCTCCTAACGGCTTGACGATTCCCAGCTAGTGGCGGACCGTGCGGTCTGCCTGTTCTTGGGCTGACTAGATGTAATCATAGCCACACTGTTCCGATATACACAGCAGGACTTATGTGAAGCAGAAGGATTAGCTAGCCAGCCACCGATGGTACGCCAGTACAACACAGCCACCTGATGATTCCCACCGCTGTATGGCTAGCTGCAAGATGTTCACAAGACATCCATGCGTGGCACTTGTCATGTTTAGTCAGTCCTAGGGACTAATGCCACCATGTGTCCATTCCCTCTACGGCCCTGGCACGCTGCTGGTTGGCGCACCATGTCAAGAGTTGGTGTGCCTACCAATGTCAGCTCAATTAGCTCCCACCCAGCCAGCAGCGCGAACGAAGGCAACAACGCCGTGCTCTGGCCCGATGGCAGCAAGCGCCTGTCTCACTATAGTGTGCCTGAGGCGTGAGTATGGTGACGGTGCAGCCAGCCTCATCAGCTTCATGCTCGGCCCGTCCTTTTGTCGACCCCGAATCAGCCCCCGCGCCTCCGTCCCGGCGGGTAAACACAGTCTGCGACCGACACTCAGGCGTCTCGCGGTGCCAGCGCTGGCCTTCGTAAATCTCCGGCCGTCGCCGAGCAGGGGCTGTGGGGTGCGCCTCATTTGTGGCGGCATTGAGCTCAGCGGGCCGAGCGCAGCGGCGCTTGCTGCCGCCCGGCGCGGGCCGGCGCGGCCCGGCGCGCTGCCGGCACAACAATGGCGCTCATGGGCGGCCGCGGACCGGCGGCGGGGTCAGTGGCGTCCCGCCGCCGGTCCCGCCTGATTAATGACCGACCCGGGCCGGCGCGGCCACCACGCCAACCTCCGCCAGATGGTGACGACGCCATGACCACCGACGCCCGGCAGCCGTCATGGCTTCGGCGCAAAAAGCACTTCAACACTGGAGATTGTGACGGGAATGTGGCATGCGGTGCAGATAGCTACATGGGCTGGAGAAATTGTGACCGTAACCGGGCTTGGGCTGTCGGAGCTAACTGCATGGCACAGAGGGGTACTTGAGTCGGGAGCAGCCGGTAGTCACTACGGGGCACAGACAACATACTGGAGCAAGCCAACCTGGCCCGATACCGGCGGCCGCACCCGAACATGACGCACCTGGCGTGCTCGAGGTCGCGCTTGTTACCCAGCAAGACGGTGGTGAAGTAGCCGGGCAGCTTCTCCTGGCCGAGCGTCTCCAGGAAGCCGCGCGCCGCCTGGAAGCTGGATCGGTCGCACACGGAGTACACCACCAGGAACGCCTCGCCCCACCGCAGGTGGTTGAACAGGCAGCCGGTCGCCTGCGGGCATCACGCAGGGGTCAGCGGGTCACGAGCCGCGCGCATCATAGGGAAAACAGGCAAACAGGCGAGGGCCGCGTATCAATGGAGGACGCTGATGGAACGGCGGGTGGCGTAAAAACAGGCAATATCAAACAACAGAAAACGCATCGCCGTGCTCACGTCCATGCCTTTTGTTATGGCGTCCAGGAAGAAGCGCCGTGATATGCACCATCCTTCATTTGATAAGCTAACAAAAAATACCTCTCGCTAACAAACACTTGCACTTGTGATTGAGCACCGCATCAAAACTCTTGATTGTCCGTATTGTAAAATGTTTGAATGCTGCGCTGTTTTGGTTGGACTGCGCAGTGGAGGTAGGTTTTGATAGTATTTATCACAAAATCACTTTTTGCCGGACACAGACCGCTAATAAGAGCTGAAAACGGATGTGACTAATGATGCAAGCGTTAACATTGTAGAAAACAGCGTCACAGCGCATATCACTTCCGTAGCCACGTAAACTTTACAACCATTCCACCCAATTCCATACCTGATTCCGAGGCAAAGAAAACCGAGCTGATCGACGCTTCTGTCGGTACAAAAGCCGTTGTGTGCGCACCTGAGCCCGCTCGGCTCGGCTCTCCGTGCAATGCGGCAGTGACCGCGGCCCATTATGCGGTGCCCTTGACCCCAACAACGGGCAGATACGGCACTGTACAATACGCCAATCTCTGCGCCGCGTAAGTACATTTAACGTCAGCACCACATGGCAGGTGTAGCGGCGGGACGATGGTGCGTCTTCGTAGTGATAGTGCATAGCTCTGGCGATTACTTATGGCACTGACCACGCTGTGGAAGCCCACCACGCGAAACCCGGTTAAGGCAAGAGTTAAGAAGCATGTGAGATGGCAGTCGTTTTGCGCGTCTGGCAGTCAATGACCGCCGGAAGTATCCGATCTAGCTGTTCGGAAGATGCGCAGCCGCAGGTGTAACTGAAAACGTTTTGATTAAAATGAAATGGTGGGTTTGGGGTTCTATATACAAAAGTGCTTGAGCGAGTAGTGGTGCGCATTGTTTTATTACTGAAATCCGCTCTAAGTGGGAAATTCCACGCAGAAATAGGTGCCATTTAGGGTGACACAGTCTGACGTCTCCAAAAGTATGGCAAACCTACGCATTAGAGGGCAGTAGTTCCGCGACACTCAGCTGTGATAGTTGCTCCCATCATGCAATCGGTAGTTACCAACATATGAGGTATGACTGAACGCGGTAGCTTAGCCTTCTTTAGTCCTTAATCGTCATAATCCCACAAGCTTTTAGACAGCTTCGCTGCACGCAAGGAACCTTAGGCCCTTCGTTGGGAGAAAAACCAATACCGAAAGACGTTATAGGCCACGGTTTCAAGTGTGATCTAAAGCATGAGCTCCGTCTTAATCGTATATAGATCACCCCTAATATTCCGTGTGTACTCTTAAAGAGCAACTGGAAGGAAATGGGCGCTTGACCGTTCGTTACTGATTCTAGGGCACTTTAGTCTATGAGGAAACTAACAAAAGCTACTGATGTTCACTCCCGCTGGCTATTTGCATGTATTTCTTGCCACATTTTACTCAAGTGTGGAGGCCCGATGGTAGAAGATGGAATGGTAGATTGGTGGAAGTCAAATTATTTGGTTTCCCACCATGACAAGACGAAGTCCGGACGAAGGGACCCTCTGCGTGCCTCCAACACTTTTTACACAATACACTTTTTTTAAACGAGGTACGGCTGCGCGAAAAACGCCGCCAACAAAGCGACCTGAAACTCTCAGTAAGCTACATCAGACGCTTTTGAGGCAACCCGAGATTTCAATATGTGACCTCAGTTCGGGGAATTAAACAGTATGTCTGACAATTCCATCGTATGACATGTTTTACTGATCTTTACTCTGAACCAGAGGCAAACCAATGCGCTCGAGCATTAATTTGAAGAGTAAAAAACGTAGCCTTTAAGCGAGAGACCACATATCGAGGTGCAACACATTGGTCACTTCTTTTGGCATTATCAAGCTGGGAGACCCACGGCTAAAAAGGATGTCATCATGTATTTCATGCACCTTTCATACCGGATACAGTTGACTTATATGTTCCATTAATCTGATTAACAAAGATGCTGCTTGTACGACCTGCCCCGTGATTTATTTTCAATTGTTATTTGATTACGTGTTTCGTAAAGCTAAGCAAATCAAGACATAAAGAATCCTGGGAATGAACATAAGCTAGAATAAAAATAAACATAAATGTGGGCAAATAGAGATGCAAGAGCTTCAAACCTCATCTGAAATATGACTTAAGGTATTGCGTCTTTTTTTGTTTGCTAGATGTGAAAAAGCATATATAAGTAGCATCTAGGAACTCCATAATCATGCTAAAAAGCGATTGGCATGCTTAGGAGGGATTTCCGGCCTTTCTGGCGACAACTGACGCCAGTTTCTGTTTGAATGCAGAGGGTTAGCTTTGGGATGACATGAGCGCCATGATGATTCCTTCGCGTGGTGGAGGTGATATGAACACACGTCACGAGAGGACGGGGACTTTAACCCGTAGGTCTTGACAGAAACGCATGATGAACAACAAGTTAGGAAATTAACAAGCCTTGAGGGAATATGGTATGTTGTATACGTGGTGAATATGAACACTTTGTGTAAAGGTTTGCGCTAAACATTGGCTTGAACGCTTTGGTAGGTGCTGGAATGTGCGGATATCCCTTTGTGTTCCTCTAAGCGTCAGCAAAAGCATCGGACTACACAAAATTTACAGAAATGGAGTAAATCAATCGAATCGAGGAGTAATGTCATGCAAGCTTTCCCTCGATTTGGCCTGCAGTAACAGCTTCCAATTATTAACACATAGCAGCGAGGGTTGCAAGGGCAAGCATAGCTCGATTTGAGCCAGTTTTGCCCCACTGACATTTCAGTCACATGCGAGGCTCTCCTCTATTGACTCGATTTTGATCATACCTGACAAGCACAAACCACTGACGCTAATAACTCATTTCTGCCTTTTCTCAGTGACTGAAAACCGTGGACGTGATAAAGTCCGGCCGGCTGTCGTCACGTTCGCCGCCGTCACGGGTCTGACCGCGGACCCAGGCCAGCCTCCTCTATGCCCTCCCTTCATTAATCACGCCTGAGGTGGCGCCCGACCGTGAGAAGGTCAGCACGGAGACCTGTGAGGGAGCTCCTCGCCCGGCAGATCATGCCGCTAAGGCCGCATCATCATCACCTTCATCATCACTCTCATCATCATCATCATCACTGCCGGCCGTGACCCCTCCGTTGGGGCTGCCGTCACACGAGGGTGCAGATGCGCCGTGCGAACTGGCCGACATTAAGAACTGGCAAGAAAAAGACATTGCAACGCCGGAGAGACGCGTTACGTCTTTGGGAATCCGCATGACACGTGAATTCGGGAGGGCGAGGCTCGGGGGTCGGAGAATCTTGGCGCGACTGAATGCGAGGCACATGTGCGGGGATGAGACGATGCCATCCATCCTGCTTCCCAAGGCCGTCCATGTCGTGAGCGTTGAAGCCTTGAGCGGGATGACGTCCGCGTGGGTTTTGTTGTTGCCTTCTGGGTAACTTAGCCAGCTGACGGCTTCGCTGTAAGCTGTGACGCCATGCTGATACTCACAGGCTACGGGACTTTGTAAAACCTGTCTGGGTTGAATTGATCCACAACAACCTTTACTACACACTAAGTACATCACTGAAGACACAGGTATTGGGTGAATCCTTAATGACCTATTTTCGGGCACTAAGTGACGACTGAAGTGCGTTAATACCCCAGGCTGATCGCATACCTGGGGCCTGTGCCGCACCGACCGTCCGGAACCACCCTGCCTCCGACCCCTCACGACGTGAGGTCGGAGTGATCCACTCCGGGCGTGATCCACTCCGGGCGTGATCCACTCCGGACGTGATCCACTCCGGGCGTGGTCCAATCCGGGCGTGATCCAATCCGGGCGTGATCCACTCCGGGAGTGATCCTCTCCGGGCGTGATCCACTCCGGGCGTGATCCACTCAGGGCAAGATCCACTCCGGTCGGCGCTAATGAGGCTGAGATGTGAGACCCAATGAGACAAAGCCGATGCAAAGCTTCTATCCGAGGCTTTACTGCTGCCATTAGCAGAGCGAGCAATCAGCCCACGTTTAAATCTATCATCCGGGTGGAGTGCACCTAATGCTTTCGAAGCGACAGATCGCATCACATGTGATCACTTAGTTCTTTGGGCGGCCATGACAAGATCCAAGATCCAACGGAGAGAGCATGACGCAAGCGTGAGTGCATGATGTGCATATCAAAGATTCACGCGAGTGCCCATCGGAACAGGTTAGTTCAGTGTGGCTTGCACCCTTGTAGGTTGTCTGGTGCCTTCCTGTGATATGTGTATGCAATCTGCGTAAGTATGCGTGTAGGTGCGCAAGCGGCATTTCATCAGTGTGTTTTCGTAAGAAAAATTAATTCGGCTCACCGTGAATAAGCTGATGCGATGACCCCGCCAGTAGTAGCAGTTCAGTAATGTCGATAAAAAAGTGACGAATCAATTTTGCTCCAAAAAGTTCCGAAGGATGCTGAGACCGCGAGTAGCCAGCAGAAGCATCATGATGATTATAACCACTCCTAGGATGACGCTCATTCGACGCGTTAGATCACTTCATGGTAAAGCGTGCGACAAAGTAACTAATTACTCATGTAAGCGACCATGCGCCCTTCTCATGTGGGTGAATGGGAGGCCACACACCCCTCTAGTGATGGACTGTCCTGACGACGGTCTCCAGCCCCCTGGTCGCGTCGAGGGTCCGTAAACAGACACCGGCGAGCGCCAGCCCGGCCCGCCGCGCGCGCTATGGCTTTTCTCCCATTGTTTTGGATTTCTCCGCGGCCGTCGGCACATGTTCAGAATGTCGGCTAATGACCTGGCCGTCAAATAAAGCCCATTAGACGGATGTTGCCGCGACCTGGGCAGCGTGATTCATGGCGGCGGTCCGCGTGGGCGGCGGCGTGCTGCCGGTACATCAGGCCACCCCCACGTCGCACGCGGCGCTCGGTGGATAATGGCCCGGCCCCGCGTCAGTAAACAGAGGTCAGGCGGCGCCTCCGTCCGAGGGCTGAATCGTGACGGTAGCGCTGTATTCGCGCGTGAGCCATGGGAATCTGCCAGACCTTCTCTCGACTTGGGGATCGGCTCTCTCTCTGGGTTTAAGGATTGTGTTCTCTGAACATGAGGATCGGTGTTCTCCGAACATGAGGATCGGTGTTCTCCGAACCTGAGGATCGGTCTTCCCTGAAATCGGGATGGCGATGGTTTGTATGCATATCGCACAGCTTACACGGTTAATGGACGGAGGAGGGGTGTGTTGGCGCCGGCTACAACGCAGTGCTTTCGGGGAGGTGCATGCTTTGACGCAACGGTTCGTGTGAATGCCATTACACTCAAAGTTATTCTTCAGGTCCACGAACCCAAGATGTCTCCAAATGCCGTTCTTTATCCGCGCCCACGTACCATGCACCTGCAGCTGTCCAATATGTCGACCCCCGTCTTGACGCCGTCGAAGGTCACCGTATGCGTATATCTCATGTCTGCAAGACAAGGCCAGCGGGTCAGGCACGCCCGTCACAGTGGGTGGGACACCACGGCAGTGGGCGGCGGCAATTCTGGCGCGGTATCGGTCGCGATTCATATGCAGGCAGCTGGCGCGTTTGCATGCGAGCCGCGCGTTAACAAAGAGGATACACCCGGAAGCAGAGGTTATCCGCTTTTGCCTCGGTGGGCACGGACGAAAATATTCATGGCGACTCGTATGCGGTCACCGCGGCGTTTAAGGTGTGACGATGGCTTTGTCGTGTCGCACATATGTCAACGCGCGCGAAAACGATGAGTTATGTGGTCAAATGAGCCTGCTTTTCCCAAGCATGAATATGTAGTGCTGTTCGCCGGGATGAACGTACCGCCACTGGAGCTGTAGTCTCCTATGTATCTTTTCGTCAGGTATCGGACGCACAGAGCTGAAACGAAAAACAAACTCGTCATAATGGAATACGTGGCATTGCTTATGCCAAAACGCTATCCTGTTTACCCAGGGAAAGCCCTTAGCCATAACGACAAGAAGGCCTGCTGATAGTAAACTGTGGCGATCGGACGACACAAGCGTTTGGATGTGATTCCTTCATGTCTGATGGTGCATCAATAAAGATGGCGGCTTTCAGCCCGATGTGAGCACTGTTTGTAGCCTAATCGGAATAACAGGTGGAGATCCCACAATTCCAAGCAGTAAATCACACTTACTCCCTTCCCAGAAGAGTGAGGTAGATGCTTTCAGATCGCCAAATCTGGGATTTTCTTGATCATGTCCGATTGGGTTGAGTAAGAGTATCGGGATCCATAAACACAAAGATTCGAGCACCTTTACAAAATCCCCAAAACGTCGACTATAATGCTAATTAGCTTGCGATTCGCACCATGTTTTTTCAGCACGCCTTGACATGGAGAGAGTTTTAGCTATCGCTTTGATAGGTGCCTATGCCACTTGTGCAATGTTTGTGCAGTGTTTGCCGCATACTCCTAAGACTGAGCTAGGTGTGGGCTAGGTTTGGGAAAGATTTGGGGAAGAAGAAAATTTGATGTGCTAGACTTGAGGAAACAAACATCTATTTCGCCATTCTAAAGGGAGACCACGAAAGGTCTGGCTACATGAAATGCACGTATGAAAATATCTCACAGTCGTCTTTTGGATAGATTTTGGGAGGTTGTCCACTGCGTAGGTAAAATCGCTTCTGCACTGGAAAAGGACGTCACGAATGCTACAACTGCTACGCCATAAACGTTTGATGATGAAGCCCTCCGCTAGAAGCTTTGCGGTGCGCATTTGGATAGGAGGAACCTATTGTCGTTGAAATAGTCGCTCGCGCGCTCAGGCTGTTTTTTTACTACCCTCGAAAAAACACGCCTCACCTGACGTTCTGCGCAGGAAAAACTACATTCAGCACAGGTGACAAAAGCTATGCATAAAGACGATCATTCCCAGAACTACATTGTAATACAAACAGAAATGGCACAGAACAGTGCATCTTTGCTACGTTTTTATTAATATACCGACATTAAGCGTGCCGCATCATTCGGTACAGCTTTCCTGATCTCTCAATTGCATGACAATGAGGGCAAAGAAGCTCTTACACATATAGATGACAGAAAACCTCCGAAATAAGGACCACCAGACCTTTCATTCAACCCAGTTATTCATTGATACCAGCGCAGCATAAAAGAACACAGGGACATATAAGATAGTCTTGGCCCCTGTTTGAACGAGGAGCGGGGTACGGTTGTCAGTGACTGGGAATAGCAGGACTCCGGCCAAGTTGGCGCGGTTCATCCGCCAAAACGTGACATCCGCAACTCGCAAGCTATCCGATGCACGTCAGATGCACACATATGTCGGCATCCGATACGTGCACATGGTTGAACTGCAGTGCGAGCAGGACAGCTGCGATAACGTTGGGCGCTGACGCTACAGAGGTTTGGGACAACATATTTGCAACTCACTTTTTAAATCAAGAAAAATTGTAACCCTAAACGCATGTTCTTTCAATAAAAAAGAGCAAAACAGTTACCTTCCTTGCACTTGCTTTTGTTAAGCCCGTGGCGCCTTAAACGTACGGTCTAGATACTTCTTAGATACTAGATAGATACTAGATACTTCATCATATACCTAGATCCACTTTGTAACTTCATGCGCTCCTTAAGCCCCTGTTCAAGCTAACATTTTTCAAAAATGTTGCAGAATGAGAAAAAAACGATTGAAGAAACACAGCATTGGAAGTAGAGGGAGATACTTCAGCATCCCAAGTACTCAGCGGAAGGATTGCTTCTCGGTTGGCCTGGTACCTCGAAGCAAGAATCCTGGGAACACTCAAACCAGCCGGCAACATCTCCCGAGCCCGCCGTGACATACCTGTCTTGCCGACGCCCGGCGCGCCCAGCACGAGCACCTTGATCTTGTCCAGCTGGCCTTGGTTCTGGCTGAGCTCGGTGTTGGTGCTGCTGGAAGCGCAGCTCAGCGTCGACACACTGCTCTGCGAGGAGCAGCGGCTGGTGATGAGCATGGTGCAGCCGCAGCCGACCTCCTCCTCCGAGTGTCACCAGGTTTGACCTCACGGACAGCGGCGCAGCGCTACTACCGGCTCCCCGGTCCCAGTCACTCGCAGTCGGCCGGGTCCATGGCCACTCGCGCTCTCCCGGGGTGCTGTTCACTTGGCCGCTCCTGCAGTCTCCCGCCGCCGCCGGCCGGCGTGGAACGCCGCGCTCCCTACACGATAGCGTCACACGGAGTGCTGCAGTCTCCGCACGACGGCGATGGTGCTGCAGTCTCTGGAGCGGCGGCGGGACGCGGACGGCGCCACGCGTGGTCCTCGTCCCAGACGGCACCGAGACGCGCTCCCACCCGGTGCGACCGCCCGCTCACGACTAACGCCCGCCGGCCGCGCGCCGCGCCCGCACCCAGTCCCGTCCGCCCGCCGCCAGGCGCACCACGCGACCCGACGGCCGGTCACGTGGTCACGTCGGAGCCTTGGGAGCAGCGCGAGCAGTGACGTCACGGCGGAGCGGACGTGTCCCGAGCGAGGCTCTGCAGCAGGGGGCTCCATGGGGTGTAGTGGGTCCTGTTCGTCAAAGATCATCAGGGGCGTTTACTTCCGCGTTGCTTTGAGGCGACGACGTATCTTGGTGAATTCAGAGTTGGTGCAGTTCTAAATTAACGCGTGTCGGCGTGGCTTCTCAGTGCAACGCACTCGGATGGGGATGAGGATGAGCTGACATATACGCGCCAGATATTTCAAAAGCTGGCAGAGCCAGAGGCACCAAATTCACATAGCAAATAGGACCCTATGTAAACTCATTTGTGAAATACTTGCAGCTCTCCAGGTGGTGAAATTCGGGTCCAATAATGACAAACTACTTCAAAATCCAAGCACCCTGTCCGAAGTGCCTACAAGCCTACTCACGCAGACAAATTTTGCCTAGATACTGTTTCCAAAGAAGGTCACTCGTGTTTACATCAGGTCAGTAATCTCAGTTGACTTTTAAAGATAAAGAATAGCCAGAGACATTCGAGAATGTTGTAATGTCAGGGCTTAAATCAACATTAAGAATGTCTCAGGCGGCAAGTTTCTCAGAAAAGTTGATTGAGGTCATTTAGGGTCAGAAAACTTCTATGTAAGCTTATTTGCGTCTTATTGTCACAGCAACCTTTTAAAGGGAGTGTCCCACCTTTAGGACATATCGCAGTTGTAGTCCCGTGAAACCTCAGTGTTCGTTAAGTCTTGTACAAGAATTTGGTAGCACCACTGCAACACCATCAAAATATAATTTGAATATCAGTTTTGACCATTCTCGAATCCAAACTACGGTGTCAACGCTTTATAACACCACTACCCTTCTTCCCTGCGGTCACGATTCATGTCGTCATGACAACCAACGCGTACAAACTGGTGCAAATAAACTGACGTTTGTGATTGGTCCAGTGGGCAGGGGCCTGCTACCGAGAAGCACATCGGTTGAAGTTGGAACCAACGCGTCATATGGATCATGTGACACTCCCATGCAAGGCCATGTAATAGGGCATAATCATCCTGGGATTTTCCGGTACCTTTCCTTCACCACTACAGTGACGTTATAAAGTCGCAGCCTGCCATCACCGCGCCGCCTGCATCACCTTCGCGTCCGCTACACCGTTGCACCTACTAACAAATGCATCCGTTGACCGCCACCGGGCACTTCAGGAAGTACTTTGAGGAAATATGAAAGGGTATTTTTGTCACCCCTGCTGTAAAACAGCGAGCATAGGCCTAGGAACCAGGACCCCATGTCCCATGGTACTCACATTTGCTGGGGATGCCAAACATTGAGTCTATAGCGATGCATTGAAGTTGGCCAGCCCACAGCTTTTAAATGCAGGTTAGCGAACCTGCCCAAGGTCCAGCCACTGCCGAAGAAAGAACTGAGCGGCACCAGGATCATCACCCGACCTGTGGCGTTGAGCCTCAGCACTATACATAATAACGCGCTGGGTTGCACTGGTGTGCGATTGAGGCAGTTTGAGACGACGGAAGAGATATGCTGACTGGTAGAACATAGGACATTGTGGACATTGCACATTTCGTCAACTATGCCGCGAAGCCTCCGAAGGTCGTGGCGCATGGCGTTAATCAAGATCATATCCGTCACGCCATGCAGCTGATTTATCGGACACACGCATGACTCATAATTCGCCGTATTTTACTAAAGCGATTCTTGCGCCCAGCATACACTTCATTGTGCACACTTGACGAGGACACGAAATAAACAGGGGGGGGGGGGGGGGGCGGAGAACACAGCTATAGATTTTCCAGCACAAATCCACAACTATGTGACATGACAACCAGCCTGAAACAACCCAAACGTTTATGTGCGAAGGAACCGTCTCTGCCTCAGACAGACACACAACCATGCAAGACAAAACATATGGCATAACGATGTTCATTTAAGGTCACTTTCGTGTGCTCACATAAGCACAACGATGTTCTCTTCGCGCTGTCCACCTAATGTCGCAACTGTTAAGCTGCGCGCCTGGCAGCAGCTCGCTCAGCCCCGGCCTAAGCCATCTAAGGCACAGATGGATACGCGTCTTCACCAGCTTCCGAGCAATCCGCTTGTTCAGCGCAGAACTTTCTCAGCAGGAGCTTTATGGGGCGGTCCACGAAGCCAATGTCTCGGTCCATTCCTCGGTCCATCACTAGTTGGAACACGATCTCGAAAGCCTCGACAACGCTCGTCCAGGCCGGCAACGGCACCATCAGACCACCCTGTCTAATTGTGTGTATCCAGTTGTCTGGCACACAGCTGGGTGATGCATCTCGGGTCGACAGTCCCGCACCTGGATCGAGGTGTTTCCACTTGACAGCCACGAAGCCCGCAGCGAGGGCCAGCGCCTCGTACTTGATGTGTGTGCCCTCGTCCATCACGTCGCCGCAGCTGGGGCCATTTTTGGTCCTCTCGCCGTCACCGCCATGGAGCTTGCCTTAGCCCAACTCGTTGAACCCGTTGTCCTCGTCCACTTCGTTCAGGACGGACATTGGTGGCATCGCGGCTGCTTGCAGGCAGGCGGCCTCCACGTCGTCCGTATGCGCTGCCGCTTCCATCACAGCTGGATTTTGGATCTGCGAAATAACGAAGGTCATTTCCGCGTACCTATCAGGCACATTAATCAGACCTTTTTACAAATCACCAGTTTTGTTTTTCATTACGACAGAAAAAGGTCTTGGACCCGGACATGCCCATTCTCTCGTTATCGCATGCTTGTTTTTGTACACAACCACCTTTTCTGTGGTCCAGCGTGACATAATCCGAGCGGGTAAGAGGGATGGTCAACGGCCGACGAGTACTCGCGGCGTGCACCACTCTGATATCTCCCGCTCCTGGCCATAACCCCAGATTTGTCTGTCTGGACCCGTTTCATGGTCCCATTTCATTGCATCGGCTTCGCCAGGAGGCTGGCGCCGCCATTACTGTTTTTCGACGCAAAAATACGCTAGAATGCACTGCACTCCGAGGCTTCAACCCCCCCCCCCCCCCCGCTTCCATTCGTCTCTACCCGTGAAGTTCAAGGTCTATGGCTTAGGCACAGCAGCAGTTATTTCACCACGATATTACTGTATGTAATCCCGGAGTTTGGTGACCAGGTAAATAGCTTTCATTTGAAACCTCAGACACTATCGTGAACAGTAACACGAAGAGCCCAAAAGTGGTTCAAAAGTGACAAGGCTCGCAAAAAGCCGACTGAACATGTATGGTACGCAGGTGAAAGAGCTGTTTAAGGCACCAGGGCAAACCAATATTAGAAGCTCATTGATGCGCTAGGTACTGTACCTATTAACCGTTGTGGGATTTGTTGGTCGGGTCACAGCGCATAGATGTACTGTCAATGGGGCTGGGACTCGCTCGTGCAAACTCACCCTCCCCTCCCCGCCGCAAACCCTGGCTACGTCCCTGACCCTCACCCCCTTCGCCCGTGTAGCATGGATGGCTGTGTCACTTGTGTGGTAGTCAGGCCCCACTTTGTAAACAAGAGCATGGTCGGAAAATCTCGCTTTAATTTCGTATTGTAGTCTACAAGTTGCACAGAGCCGCATGGATTACGCGTGCATTAGTGACTGTGAATCGGGTTCAAAGATTTCTGCATAAAACAGACGAGAATTTTCCTTTTAAGCACACGCATACTCACTTCGGCGGCGATGTCCAGTCGCTGCCGGCGATGTCCAGTCGCATAGAAGGAACTATACCTGGTCAAAGGCATGGTTTAACACGCGCTCGAGCGCGGGTCAAATTGAACCCCCGAAGGTTTTTCCGGAATGGTTTCCGAACGGCGCGGCGTAGCCGCATCAAATTTTGCACGGCTGTAGACAATTGAATAGCGAATCGTTTGACATAAAACAAATTTAGATGTACCTTGTAAGGTCACTGACCCATGGCAGGTCAAAGTCAGACGATGGTTTGAGCGAAGGCAGTCTCTAGGGAATCGTCCAATTTGATACAACGACGGAGAGTTTGATTAAGCCACACATCTCTGAGATGCTTTCTCAGACAAAAAATATCGAATAAGCAAATTACGCTGACCTAAGTTCGGGCACGAAGGTCAGACCAAGGTCAAAACCAGCCTGATTTATTACTCTAGGGCTTGCTGTATGGGATAGTTTGTGGTGCTCATTTCAAATTTATTGACGGCAGGAATCGAATTATGCATCTTTCATTGACTTCTTAGAGGTCAAAACAGGTCATGGACCTAAGATGAACCGGGTCGATGTTCTGTGTTAGAAACATACTGCCTATCGTAATCTTTGTCGCTTATTCAAATGCAGAACTCAGAACAGTCTTGTATGATTTTGGTCACCATTACCTTAAAAGGGTCAAACAAGGTCACTGACCTCAAATGGGCTTGTGACCTTTTGCTTAGAAACAGTTGCCTAAGTTCTGGAGCACTTAAGAGACCAACCTGGAATTTGACTGTGTTTGGCCTTATTTGACTTGAGGGACATGGCCTAAGAGACTCAAAATTTGACTTAAGTGAGTTCACGTGCAGTCAAAACATCCTGTAAAGTTGGCGTTTCTAGCTTTCTTAGTTCTTGAGATGTCAGGGGGGGGGGGGGGGGTCAAATTAACCCTCACCTGATCGGAGGGTATTTAGCCAGCCACCAGGGCACGTGTTAACATTGGGTACGAGACTGGCCTTAACCAGATGGCCGGGATCACAGCAATGCTCTTGAAAATTTTCAGATCAGATTTCTGCATTCTCCGCACTTATGGTGTT